GAAGCAACTAGCAGTTGCAAAAGTTCCTGTATACAAATCAGTAAAATTACCTACAGAACAACACAGACATGGCCAGATGCAGCTGCAAATTAGATGCTATGAAGGGAAGGGGCAGCCATGCTTTGCATATCCCTTGACTTGTAGCACCTGCATTGGGCAGGGATAACAGAGGAAACAGGTTCCTTACTCCCCAGGAAAACTCCTTTCTCCTCACCTTCAGCACCCTTGCAGGACTGGAAGGAGTAGAGGAGATGAATCATACAACATTTGCAAGACTTGTAAAATCTTATCAATTCTGAAGTCCAATTTTTGCTAATCAGTGCATACCACAAGTGCAAATGTTAACCCAAAGGAGCAGCTAAATGACTGGTGCAACCAGCTGAAATGGAATCATCCTAAAGTTCACTTGTGGCCATATGACCAAATCGCCACCCTCTCCCATTCTTCCTCCTGCTTATTTCCCTCCCTTAAAAAATCATAACGGGATGATGTGTCTTGAACTCTAGTTCACCACCTTTGTCATGAGCTCCTGGGAGCGGGCCAGCATCGGCACACAACCAAACACCAGCTTCCCTCAGGAACTGGGCAGCTGGTTGCTGTTCTCATCCAAGATCTCACCATCCCCTTCAGAGACACCAGGCCACTCGTGCTGCCATGCCTGCCACTCAGCACGGGGCAAAGAGCCACCAAGGAAGGTCTGCCTTCAGACTGGGCCTTACTTTCTTCTACTGAGGTTTCCCAGTTTCTTTTCAGCCAGCTCATAGCCCAGACCAAATATTAACCTAAGATACCACACAAAGAACATTACATAGCTAAACTTCTTAAACTTCTTAATTTACAGGAAGTATGTTTAGGGGAACCTCATTTATTTTTTCTTTGCATCTAATTGATCATCAGCATCAAATATGAAAAGCCAATTATTTCCCAGGAGCGTTGGCAAACTGACGTCACTTCAGCAGCTCTGTACGCAGTATATAAAACTGAAAGGATTAAAGTTCAATTTTAATTGTGCAACTGATACCGTAAACAGGTGCTTTCTTCTAAGGATTTTTCATCTTTTGAGACGGCTTAGCATAAGAGTCAAATTTTGCTTTCAGTTATATGGCTATAAATCTGGAGTAACTCTGATAATCTCAAAGCAACACCAAACTCATGTTTTCTCCTTCACTGAAACTCTGAGATTGTGCAACAGAGGAAATAGCAACGATGGAGTAACTCCCGACTTTGAACAAGGCTAGTGAAACTAGTGCTTTGACTGTGTAAACTGCCTTTTCTCCTGCAAGCTAGTAATGCAATTAATCAATTACCTCACAGAAGAATCCCAAACTTTTCAACAGGATCCAGAAAAAGCAAACTTCTAAAGCCAGTGTTTTCCAAAGTATACGCTGAACTTGACTTTAAACCCGTAAAACTTCCTAATGGCCCACAGTTTCAGACTGAAGCAAAACTTCACAGCAAAGTAAAACCAGAGGTTTATAATGCATATGTTAACTAGCCTTTAACTGCAGCAGCACCTTATAGTGTCATATTGTGTTCTGTATATCACCCATTGTCCAACTTTGTAAATAAAGCTTTGACACGCTTTAAGTTTTTGGAGCACCACCTGTTATTCAGAGACTTCCTTTTATCCATAAACTGTCAAAAAAGATGCGTTTCAAGGGAGAGGGAGATTCAAAGGAGATCCATAGTTACTTAACAGCCTAATTTCTGGCACTAGCCACATGAAGACAAATTAAGACTTCAAATGCTTTTCTCCTCTGAACAGGTATTTGTCAAGCTTATCAACAAATGAGATTCTAAAACACTGCCTGTGAACAGTAGGGTAACCTGAAAACTTGCTCTATATCTATTATTGCAAAATAGACACCAAAAGGTAGGATCTATCTCACCTAATTTTAGCCACCTAAACTAAACAGTCGGCACCTTGTCTCAGTCACTGGAGCTTCCTCTACAGCCGATGGTATCACTCCCACCAATTTTAGCATGGAGAAAGAAACAATAAAGAAGGCACTGATGCTGCTGATTGGAGAGTACAGATCATTAGTTTATGATAGATGCCAAGGTCTCGGAGAATCCCACCATGACATGTCCCAACAGTATGCATGGGGTATAGCAGTCACCTGTATGGAAAGCTGCAGGCTTCACTCCCACAGCAAAGAGGTTCAAGTAATTGCAACACAGCCCTAGACCTGCCCCTAGAGGAGCAGGAGGAGGGTGCTGGTCCCTGGCTCCATCAAATGGGGGAATGGGGAATAAAGGAACCTGAAAAACAGCAAAAAGATATAACAGCTCATAATGCAATCCACAACTAGTAATGTCCAACTTATTTTACTAAAATATTTAAGTATGAGAAACCTTAATGAAATTTCCAACTCTCTGAAATGTTAAGGGGTCAGGCTTATCCCTGGCTTCTATCCACTTGCCTTACTTCAGCACAATTTGACTCCGATGAACCCCCCCCCTTTTTTTTTTTAAAACAAAACGTATTATGAATTTGCTTCCCTGTCATAACAAGCGCCCCTCAAATGTTGTTTTTCTTTTCCATAAACCCAAATAAAGAATTAAAACAACAGCATTAATTGCAAACACCTAGGCAAAGTAAGTTCAGGGAAAACATAAAGACTTTCCTAGAGGCCTGTTTGTCACAGGTTGTCTCTGATGCTTCTGATATTTTTGCTCTCTGGTACTTTTGAAGAAACACTGTGTTTCACAGATGGGGTGACTTCTTATTTATCCATCTTGCATAATGAAACACTTTTAGTAAAGACAAAAAGACTTTCTCCAGGTCGGTGGATCATTGATGGCTTGATTCTGAAGAAACAGTCCTGGCAATCTACACCTGAAAATAAAGTCATCTGGGAGACATTCAGAGACTTATCATCAAATCTGAACAGCTTGCCAAGGAAAAACTGTAGTGTCTTGAATCACCTATTTTAGCATGGCTTTTAAGTGCTGACCATGCCAGTGGACACACAATTAAAATGAACAGTCCTGAGTGTTTTGTTTCCAGATTTCATATGTAAACAAGGTGCAGTTGCATTGCCAGTCCCTCTCGTAACGTTGAATCTGTCAGTCATCTCCCAGCAAACGTGACAGAGGGAAAAGACTTCTCAAAGCTCCCTCAAGCTGCATGACCAGCTAGGGTAACAGCAGAAAAGACCTAAATTAAAACCTTCACGAAGGCAAAGCTGGCAAGAGTGGCGTACACCCTGCTTCACAGCAGCTAACCAGCCCATCACCACAGCTTACCAACCTGGCCACGAGCATCCATGTCACCCTCAGCTCGTGCACTCCATGCTGCCCCTTGGGTGGACTTGGTTTCAAGGGGAAGGGCTGAGAAGGACAGGGAAATTTTCAAGAAATATCTCAAATCCACAGGACATGAGGCTTCACCAGCTCTTCTGCTCACAGAACTACTTTTTTTTCTTTTTCTGTTATTTACTGTCTTCCAAAAGTTTGATGAAAGACCTTCATGAGCAGATACCACTTAAATGGAAAGTGGATGCCCTTTAGTGTTTCTTAAAATTGAACACTTTCATGAGTTGATATTCCAGGAAATTACCTATTATCATTTTGATCCCTTTAGGATTAAACTCTAGGAGGTTTAACTAGGATAACAAGATAAGAAAACAAATCCAAAGAAAGCATGCTTTAAATAAGATTTAAAGCCTTCCAAAAAATCTGTACTTGGTAACTTCAATGTAGTGTTGAATCAGACACGGCAGAACCTCATGCAACCCTTTCATGTATGTGAGATCTGTATCTTAATCTTCATTTTAGACAGTGCCAAATCAGACTGCTATCATTTGTAGCATTTGAGCCAATTATTTCCAGCAATTTTAAGCTGATTTATTACAGTTCTAACTCTGAACATTCATCATTCTGCAAACAGCCTAATGGGAGATGACCTATACCTTAACTTATACATTTTACAATGGTCTTCCTCTAAAACTGTCTGCCAATCACAGTATTTAAATCCTATAAAGTTTACTTCATGTTTTCTATACATTTGGATTAGAAGTCCACATTGTATTTTGTTAATGCATTGGGTTCACAGCTGAGGTACCATAACTTCAGTATGGAAAAAGTTGCTACCACAGCACTGCATTTCTCATTTGCTATTCCCTTGACTAACATCACCTAAGTGGCTGTGTTTGTCATCACAGAAATGGATGCTATTTTCTTCTAAAAAAATGTGTAAATTCTACCCATACAAAGCACACAAATGCTTGTAAGCAAGCTGTACACAGAAGCTCTACCAACCACCACAGTTGTGAGGGAATGCAATGCTACTCACGATAGAGAAGCAGTTCATTTTAGCCTCTTCAGTGCACAGCTAGGTACCATGGACAACAGTAGTAATTCATTTCCTTTTTTCAGGGCTTTTGAAAAAACAATGGCTCAGTTTCTAGTATGCCTGGCAGCCACAGACTGGGTCGACTTGCAGTCTGAGTGAATCTGAATGTGAATTTTGAAAGCAGAATCCATTACATGCTACAGAATTTCTTTTATTAGAATAGAAAAAGAGAGGTGAGAAATAACAACAATAAAACTGGAACTTGGGATGCACTCTGACACAGAACAGTTATGAAAAACAACAAAGTTTTCCTCACAGTACAATAATTCTTAAGGATGGACCAAAAGGATTATTTACCACTGCAATAAACTATATATTATCAATGAATGAGATGACTACTTTACTCCCTATATACGGTAAATAGACAACATAACCTGGATTGTTTTGGAAACCCATTATCAACAAAATCCTACTCAAAGAAATTAAGTCTGTCCCATCTCTAACAGATCACCTAAGATTATATTTGGGCAGCTAAAACCCAACACAGTTTTCCAAGTATGATTTTAGTTGGGTTACCTAATTTCCGAAAAGGATTTTGTCAGAGGAACTTAGGCAGAGGGTTTTTCAGTCAAGCCCATCTCCAACAACTCTTGCAGCATAAAAATATAGGAAAGACGTAAGCAGTTGGTGTCATAGAGCTCTTCTATGCTTCATACTCAAGTATTTTAAGATCTTCAAGTAGTTCTTTTGCAAGTGCTTGCAGATCTGCATTGCGGCTCTTTGACAGTGCAACGATACGCTGAAATGGCAAAGTATCACGCATCTCAGAGGCTGACTTGGCTAATACTTCTGGCTCCAGAATCACAGACTGGAGGAGCCGCAGAGCATGAAGACAAACTTCTGTATCTGGGTCTAAAAGCAGGGGAGGAAAAAAATCCAGTGCTTATTAGAAGCGAGTCCAAGAAAGTAGCATTAAAGCTCTACAGTGCCATTCCTCATGACCCACCAGGCAGACAGGGAATAACTAAAGTTTTGTAATTCACAGCTGCCATTTGGTGCTGGCTGGCTGGCTCTAGAAGGAACCTGAAAACAACATCTTTGCCCTCCTCAGCAGCCTGTGCTCAGCAGTGTTTGGGAGGGAGGGGTAACCAGGAACCTTTCTCTTGTTTTTCAAATGTTGAAGATACTATAAATCAGGGAATTTATCAACTTGAATTTATCTAGTCAGTAGCCAAGATGTACTGTTGGATGCAATCCAATCTAAGAGCAGAACAAGCTATATCCCATGACTATTCAGACTTAAAAAACAAACAGACCGACTAATCAGATCTGCAGTAAATCACCAGGCTTTTCTTTAATTTCATTTTATACAAGCCTTCAGGTTTCTTCAAAGCTCAATAAAATATTAATCTTTATAAAACTTTCTGATAACCATGTATCAACTTTCCAAGTGTTTAATTCAGTCTACACAAAATTGAAATGGGTACTGAAGCTAAGCGTTGCTGCTTAGGAATGCGTCAGAGAAATGTGGCAAAGACCTTTGACTGACTTAAGCTAGGAAGACATATAGTAACTGTACTGTTAAGAACACAGGATGCATTTTTAATTACTGAAACATTAGGAGCATTATATTTTAATTGTTCACAACAGTCCATTTGCATTTAGTTGTTTACAGCTTTATCAAAAGCATCTGGTAGAAAGCCCCGTTTCTGCACTTCTCTATTCTGCATACTCCAAATGAAAATGTATAATATATTTTTATGGCTGAAATAGTTATTTGTTCCACGTGCCATGCATTTTTTAATGTGTTTGTCATTAGCATACCTAGTCTTCAGCAAGCTTTTGATAAAGCATTGTGCAGAAACGTTGAGAAAAATTAATTCAGAACACTTTGCGCACAAAATCACCACAGAGACCAAAATCTCACTGAAGGAGCATAAATGCAGTGCAGCAATAAACCACACTGCACTGAGTTTGAAGGAAGCATTTGGTCGGCTGAGGCAAGTTCTTTCCTTTCCTGGCTTATTTAATACCTAACACTGGTGACCTGAAAAAGGACTAAGGAGAATTATTCATTAAAGCATAAGGGGAAATGTTGAAAGCACCCGGGCAGAAAAAGGAAAGTGATGGACAGTGAAGAAGACTATGGTTTAAGCATGAAACTAACTGTCGAGACAGGAATTTTTAAGTAATTCCCACTAGCACATGGCTGAAGTACAATATTAAAGATTGTGACATCTGATCTACACCCACAAGCCAGGCATTATCTCTCTCTTCCTCCATTTTCCATCATAAATGAGATACGTAGCTCTTTTCTATCATACCTTCTTCCCTATTTAAAGTGTAAACCTCTTAAGAAAGGAATTCTACTTTCTCCTGGGAAACTAGCAGAGTGGGGTATAACCTGAGGACACAGAAATTGTCCAAAACCAAACAATAACATGCATTTTCTGATTTTCTGTGCAATGAGAATTGGGCATACTGCACAACTTTAGACATTCAAATCAGCATTTTAAAAAACCCCAATGATTAGTGCTGCACACCCCGCAGAAGTGGCCTTACCCATAAGCACAGCCACTCCTGTTGCTACCACCTGGGCTGAAGGCTCTAAGGAGTCTCTTGCCATCATCATCTCCAGCAGTTCCTGCAGGTGCAATTTTCTGAGTGATGAGCAGTCATAACCCATGGAGAAACATTGGAACTCAGCCTCATAGACAGCAAGACTTTATGTCCAATTTCTTGGGCAGCAACACTTCATTGAATCCTTTTGAAAAAACTCGGGTGCAAGTTTTGGTTTTCAGATTTATTCTGACCTAATCAAAATATGACTAAAGCCTTGAATTCATCCTCCCATTCCTTCCATTTTTGTCTTCATGCCTGCCAGAGGTTTGTTTTTTTTTTTTTTAAAATCCCTATTTTTTTTGCCAGATATAATGTTCAAACCCTGCACATATCACCTGCTCCCTTTCTCTGTACTTAGTATTATTCTAAGTTTATTCAGAGGAAATAGCAGAAACAAACCATAGCCCAAATAGGTAAGAAGAAAGCAGCTTCTGGGAGTGAAATCTATGTAGTTCATTATGATCTTCCTCCATGTGACAGTATTCCTCTATGAAATAAAGCCATTAATACTTTTAATGGCTTGCACTACTGCTGGGAAGCTTCATATATGTAAGATGTTTTAAATCCCTAGATGAAAAGTGCTTAGTTATTAATACTATTACAGGCATCTATGTTATTATTATCTGCAAGTGTTTAAAGGCTGTAGAAAGTAAAGAATTGATCAGGGAAGGAGTGTTAGCAGGGCAGCTAACAAAATTAGGATCTGTAGGAGATCAGGAAATTATTTCCAGCTTGACAAGCAAGAACATTTTCCAGTAAGAGCAAAGAGGTTCTAGGAAGAATCTCCAGCAGCAGCCAGGGAAGCTCAACGGCTTGAGTCACTCAAATGAAGAACAGATTAGGCACTCAGGCATACAGCAAAGGAAGGAAATGATCCTGCACCAGAAGATGACTTAATATGCATTTAACCTCTGATTGCCATTGTTTTGCATGTATTTTGAGATGCTTTGAGTTAAATACATACATATGTCTTAAAATACACTCCCTTAGGATTACATGCGGTTTTGAGAATACTACTTATTACAGATAATCATGTTTCCTAAGAGGATTTTTAAAAAAACACACCCTAGAAGTCTTTCTCTTGTCTCTCCAATATCATTAGGATTTTTTTTTTTTTTCTAAAAACCCTGTCTAAAGAATACTCAGAAGAAATGTTAAGGAATCTTCATTATTCAGCATTATATTTATTTCAATAGCTTCCAGATTTAGTCATTTCTACACTAGCTGAGTAACATTTTGTTTGTACAAGATCAAAAAAATCCTTTAGCTGTAATCAAATCACTGCATCATACCCTCCCAACAACTAGCACACACTTCTCTTCAACTGAAATTTCAAAATGACAATCATTGTTTCTGGGGAATAGGGAAAG